TCTTTTCCTTTCTGCCCGTGATAAACGTGGATATCTCAGTCCTCCACGGGAACATATCCCTCAGACAAGGGCAGGGGGGCAGCTGCCAAAGCTGTATAACAGACCCGTATCAGTCCCAGCTTTCTACCAACGACATTATGAAGAGTGAATGCAACTACTCTGTTTCCCTCACTTCCCCCCGCCCCCCCCTTTTTAAAAATATATTTTAAAAAATCAAGCTCAGAAGGAAAAAGGCTGAGGCTTTAGAAGGAAAGAGATGGCATGGAAAATAGTTTTTCAATTTTAAGACAGCCCGGCCCACAAAATAAAAGATTTTAAACTAAGCAGATGCATGGTAAGGTGCACCTGATCAGATCTTGTTGTTGGCCACTAAGCATCAAGCCAAGCAGCCATAAAACCACACTGCCCCTCAGGCTTGGGGGTGGGTTTTCAAGGCCCAGACAGGGCCCCACAAGCACCCAAGAAACGTTGTCTGCTTTTATCATAAACACAAAAATAAATGAGCCCGAGTGGCACGGCACAGGGAGGGAGGGATTCCTTGCTTGCCTCGAGCGAGAAGGGCAGACGAGCTCAAGCAAAAGGCTCCGCGCACCGCCAAGGCGCAGTGCTCCTAACAGGATTAACAACCCATTAACCTCCATTAAGAAATAATCTGGTTAGGCTCAGAGGTTCCTACTGCTCAAAACCGGACGCAATTCACTGCTTGGCACAAGAGGGAGCACAGGACTGCTGGGCTCACCTGGTGAAACCACCCTTCGCTATCTGCTGTGAGCAGCACCAACACTTTCCTCCTTGCTCTGGGCACAGGGACACACGTGAGTTGGCCTCCCTTGGGGGATGCCACCCCTCAAGGTCGGGGTGATGTCGCACTGTCACAGCCACTGCAGAGACCCCCTTCACGCACCAGCCCAGCGAGCCACATCCTCAACTCGACGTTTGTGCTTCTGAGGTGCTCATGGACAGACGTCATGTCCCCTCTTGGCTCTTGTTTTAGGGTTTTGAACGCTTGCATTTAATTCCCTCTCACAGGATGGGCTCCCTGGGGCCCTGTTCATCTCTGCAAGCCCCTCTCCAGCCTGAGCGAGCCTTCCTGGGAGATGCTGGCCCAGGGCTGTGTTCCAGAGAAGGGCTCAGCGGGGCTTTAGGCAATGGCATTTATATCTCCTTCTATTGAGTGGAAATCTCTCTTTCAATATATCCTAGGAGCATACCTGCCCTTTTCAGTGGCTCGTCATAATGGTGACTCACAGGATATATCTTCAAATACCAACATATTAAAAGGGAAAAAAAAATCCTTTGACTTGCTAAAGTCGCCTGTTAGACAACACATCCAGGACAGAGCATCTACTGCCATTCTCCAGTCAGTATCTACAAAATCGGTGCTCTGGGCCAGAACAGAGCCTTGTCACAGCCTTTGTCAACTAGTGCTACAGACAGGTCTGTCCATGACCAAATCCACCTCTCTCAGGCTGCAGACATCTCCCAGCACTACCACATAAAAGCTTGTTTCCAAGTGACTCCGATAAATGCAGATAGGCCAGCACAACCCCCAAATCCTTGTCTTGTCCATTTTCCACCTTGAATTGTTGTGCAGGTGGCCAGACTGCCTGGCCATATACACTGCAGCAGCAGCTCAAACTGCTCCATTTCACTGCTTCATTGCTAAAGTTCTGTTAGCTATCATACATATACATGTATTTCCTCTGGTTGGTTATCCTTTCTAAAAGACACCTGTCTGTTAAGTGGATGAGAAATAGATACACGTGTACAAGCAAGTAAAAAGTCCTGGTAAGACGCTCTGAAATCCACACTCTGCCCCAGTATATTAGTAAAATGGCTTCAGTTCCAAGTTCCTCCAAATTCAAGCACACGCAGGCTACGCTGTTGTGGTTGCCCTAATAATGTTTCCTATATAGCAGATTAATCAGCAAATTTATTGTATTTTCATTTGTGTTGTGACAGCACCAAGATAGCCTAACGCACTGGGTCATGCAGGAGAGCGCCCTGCCTCAAAGAGCTCCCAGAACACACAGAATAACAAAATCAGATGAAAGAACTCCAAAGGGCATCCTCCTTGAGATGCGAAGCACGAAGGGCCAGAGGAAACCACAGGTGCCACAGAACTTTCCCCAGGCGCTTCTATCAACTTCACTGGGCTTTAGGCAATGCCAAGATGTTCTGGCTCTATTGTGCTGCCTATATCCCCGTCATACTAATGACAGACTAATAGTGTAACTGGGCTTACAAAAGCGTGTAGAATATTTCCAATCCCTTGATGTAATGAATAAAAGCACTTTTTCTGTAAGAGATTCTTCCTTTTCAATCTAGCAAGGATACAGGGAATCTCAAGTGTACTTGAAGAACTTCTCTAACTCTGCAGCAATCCTGCTGAGATTTTATGGGTTGTTATCAAAGAGGTGCGCTAGCATCCTTCTAATAGCGCTAGGATTTATCGATATATGGGTAGGAAAAATTGAATTTATGAGAAGCAGAATTCTCCAAGCATACTTTGAGAAGAATTTGGAAAAAAAAAATATTTTGCTGTAGCTTTACAAGGAAGAAAAGAACAATATAGGTATACAAATAAGGCTTTTTTTTCCCCAATAGGCAGATAGCAGCATTTCTTATTCGTAGCTCAAAACAACCTTCCCTAAACAAAGAAAGATCACATGTGCTAGAAACACATTAATTCCTAAAAAGAAAAAAAAAAATAGAAACGCTTAAGAGTGTGCATTTATCTCCTGGCCAGTTGTTGGAGCAAGAGAAATGATGTTTACCTTTAACTCTCAAATCAAGAAATATAGCATTTTTCTCAAATTAAGGAATAACGCATTTCCCTCAATTGGCTGGTCAGATGTTCCTCGTGCTGCTCTTCCTTCACTTGCGCACACATCAAAGCACCTTTTGGACAGTCATGAACACACTGCAGCACTACTGCATGCACGGTCTGCAGGGCATTTCCATACACTTACTGTAAATGGGATAATCAAACCCTTTAATGGAGGAATAAATACTCCAATCAGATTGATCTTGTAGCACAAACCTTTTGTTCCTCTAGTGAAAGAGGGACATTCTTCCACATCTGGTTTCTGTCCACAATCAAGCAACCTGCCTACCCAGCATGTCACCTCCTGGCTTTCAGGAGCTAGATGCAAATTTGAGCTTGTCTCCCCATCCCCTTCCTGCCCTCTCCACAGATTATGGCCATAAAATATCAATGAAATTAGAGCTCCCTTACTCCCCAGCTCCATTTGCATGGTATTAGTTCATTACCAAGTATTTTCCAGTACTAAGATGAGAACGAGCAACCTGGAAAGGGTACACAAGAAATCAAGGGTACACCACACTGGAAAGGGTACACAAGAAATCAAAGATGACTCTGCAGAGATGCCTCATAGAACTACTCATGACACACAGAGCCTTTTGTCTTTACATCAGTAATGGCCTCTAGAAGTTTTGCAGAGGCATTACTGTGGGAAGATGGAATCAGACTACTCGCATGGGTTGGGATTTTAAAAGGAATGAAAAAGTAGTTTTGCTCAGGTGGTGCAGAGGCTGAGAGTGAAATGAGAACTATTGAAAATCAAAATACAGCCCTTTTAATCACTACATTAAGCAACGGTGCTGCTTTTAGCGTTCTTGGTGTAGCCAGCACAGATCTGTAAGGAGACTGAATTATAGTTCCTAGGGTACCAGCCTAAATGTCCTATGGAACAGGTAGTGATTCACCTATTAGTAAATATCATAGGAGCTTACCTTTTGATGTTTATATGGAAAAGCTCAAGGGAAGTGTCCCTGGAAAGATCAACCCTGTAGTCACTGATTATATTTAAGATTAACACTAAGCTTAAGGCCCAAAGGAATATGAAATTCTAAAATGGAATAAAGCACCCAAAGTTTGGGAGCTATACGTTAGAAGAAAGTTTAATATATGCAGTTTAGTTCACAATCATATTTTTTCCTGCTCTTACAAAGAGAGAACAGAAATCTGCACACAGCCCTTTCTCCTCACTCACCTGTACACGCACACACGCCACTTTCCTGGGCGGCCGAAAGTAGTGCCTGCTGGTCAGTCAAGCCTTCACCCTCCCAAGAGGCAAGAAGCACGTGCCATAGAGCAGGTCCTTGGCGCAGGATTTAGCAGATGAGGCCAGAAGCCACCATGCAGAGACATATGCTTAACTGGCAGTACTTACCTGCTGTTAGTTCAGCAACCTGGATTCAAGGTACTGACTGCTCTGCACACACAAAGGTCTCCTCCCATCTCCACAAAACATCAAGATTTGTCAGGATCCAAATTCCTTTTCTCCTCACTGCTAAAACAAACACCAGACAGTCAGTTTGTGAGGAAGCAAAATAAGGGCCAAGTTTTGCCAGGGAGCCAACTCCTGTAAATAAAAACTAAAATTCTCTGCAGGTACAGCAGTCCTTTGAAGAGGACTTTGATTCCTCAAAGCACTGTACAGCTGCTGGGACACCAGTTTTCACAATAGCTCTGTCATGTGCACAACCATTATCTGTTTACCTTTTAAACAAAACAACCGTGGAAGCTGAGGTGTTGAAACAAAGCTACTCCCCCACGGCCCCTCAGTCAGCAGTGAAACCAGGACTGCAAAACCAGGCTGAGCCACACGTTTGTCTGCCAGGCAGCCTTCTCTCCTAATCCTTTGAGATGAAACAGACTAGAGATACAGGAGAACTTACTCAAAGTAATTTTATTTCTCCAAACTCAGAAAAATATACATTGATTCCCTTGCCTGTCTTTAAATAAAAATAACCTATCTTATCTGCCTTTTCTTTTGTTGCCACTGTTAAACTTTAAAAAAAGTCCTCAATACGCCGTTTTTTGGGCGGACTCGCTGAGCATCTCTCTCCTTCCTTATTCTGTAAGGCACTTTCAGGATCAAAGTCAAAGCAAGCATCAGCTGCCTCCAAAAGCGAAGCTGCATCAGCGTCATCTCTGTTCTCAGAGAAGGTCCTCTTGAAAAGGTCATAGATGGTCTTCTGCTTTGGATCTGACTGAAGAATTAGAATAGAGAGAATACACATATGTATTGCCAAACAAAAACACAGCATTCCCACTTCCTTTCCAGATTCACTAGGCAACAAATAATTCAAGCCCAGAAAGGATATGGCTAAGCTTGGGTGCTAGGCTGCAGAAGGAATTTGGTCTTGTCTGAGTCTAAACCCCATATAAAGTCACATGCCATTACCTTCCTGACCATGAAAGAGGTGCAAAACACCACAGTATCTTCAAAGAGAAGGAAATATCCTGTTAAAGGCAACTTCTGTATATAAACTTCTGCCACAATCCCCTAGATTGATCACACGTGATCACTGGCAGCAGGACTTACTCCCTCAGAGTAGAGAGATCCTCCTTCACCCCAAAACCATCCCTGGGAGAGCTGCAGGCAACTGGAGATCCCTAAAGAAAGGTCTCAGTGCCAGGGGTTTTAGCTGGTTGTGCCCTGCCAGATTTTTGCAGGAAGAGGGGCTTTGACACTGAAGATAGTACAGCATGCAGTATGTTAGCAGCATGGGAGCTGCAGATCCAGAGAGGGAAACCACATTGCCCAAAATTGCCTATCCCCATGCCATCTTTTCCTCCCATGATTCCTGCCGGTGTGGAGGAAATTCCAAGTCTCTTAGGAGGCAGACGGCTGCTGGAGAAGCTGTGTTGTATGTCTCCTTCCCCACAGCAGGGTTGGGGCAGTTGGGAGAGTCCAAATCAAGGCATGGACTTGGGGAAAGGCATTGGAGAGTCTGCTCTGTGGCATTTAAGGCAGAACAGTTATCAAGTCAGCCTGCAAATCACCTAACCATCTAAAATGCACAAGCCAAAGTCCATTTGCCTCTCCCAGGGACCACCAAAGTTCTTTCAGGAGTTTCTTTAATTACCTTAGGGTAGTAATCAGTGGATTCAGCTGTTTCAGAGAAATTGGCTTCAGAAAGACCAGCTTCACCCAAGACTTTTATTTTCTCTTGAATCATTGGCCTAGGAGTGATAAATGCAGGTATTACTGTAAGAATGAAAATAACATGCAAGATATATTATCCAGGCAGACAGACACCATCATGTACAATGACAAGAGAAGACAAAGAAAGATACGACAGAGATATAGAAGATAATTTTTCAGCAAGAACTTGTGAGCTCTTTAATATGTCCTGATATTATTTTTTATGGATATTGACCAATCCAATAAGTAACAAATAAGAAGAGAATGTGATTTCAGGCTAATTTGGAGGGAATACACATCCAAGAAGAAAAGTAATTGAATGTGGCAACACTAACGATATGAGGTCAAAACAAGAGGATGCAGTTAAAGCAAGTCTTTACAGGCTGTGTTCAGTCTCTGAGAGAGGCAGAGGTAACACGTATCAACAGCCACATCAGCATTTCTAGGCTATCTCCCAAATATACAGTGGGAAGAATCAATCTGTGAGCCAGTGAAGAGACAACACTGGCCCAAGAGGCAGAGAGAGGTCCCCAACCACATCTCCAGACTGAACACTCCAAAAGAAAGAAAGGCCACATTGGAGCAGCACGATTAATACATTTACCAAATAGCCCTCCAGTTAAGCATTAACAACTGCATGGACAGCATTTCACAAATAAAGGAAGAATTACTGTCATTAACTTTTTGTGAAACATGGGCAATGCATCAGTTTCCAGATCCCCACATTGTAGGGTTATAATTATTTGCCATCATGATATTCTGGGAACTGCAAAAGTTCACTCAGTTTGCCTGTTCTTTTAAATGAGATAATAAAGATGTAATTTTGGACTTCAAATGAACCAGCTGGCGATAATTTCTTTTCGTCATTTGCAGGTCAGTTCCCTTGCTGCCCTAAGGATTCCCCAGATGCTCCATTTCCCCGGGATGTCAGATTCCCTAGTCCCAGTGACTGCTGCACCCTGACAGCCCCCATCACAGCCCGCGAAGCTCCGAGCACACTTCCCCAGAGCCAGGGCAGCAGCATTTCTTCAATTCACCTGAAGGCTCCCCAAGGAGCAGGAGGAGAGCAGCACTGCAGAGCACTTGGCAGCCAGATTGCTACTCAGACTTGACCCACAATACATCAAATGATCCCCAGTTCCTTTTAGTTTTGCTGGCAAGTCCTCACGGTACCCCAGCATATGAATGCTCTGGGCCGTACCTATGACATTTACTTCTCTTTACTCAGAACCCGTGAAGATTTTAGATACATCTGTTCTCCTACAGTTTCTCTCTTTCTTTGTCCTGCTTGCCACCCACTTAGTTGTGTCCGTTGCAGCCAGGCCACACCAGCAGCTCACAGCAGCCCTAGGTCACAAGCACTGTTCCTCCCCTCGCAGAGTTGAAAAACAGTGCTGACATGAAGCAACAAAGTCACATAAGCAGCAAACAGCAAAAAAAGGTAGAGGGAGAACCGGAAGGATCTCTCTCCACTTCCTACCATAAGAAGTCATCTGCTGTGCCTTTAGCCACCAGGTAGTGAATATTAACAGAGCTGGTCTGTCCAATTCGATGAGCCCGATCTTCTGCTTGGATCAAAATCTTTATGTAAAAGCATGACAAAGAAAATGAAGTGAGAACTTTAGCATTTAAGAAGTAACGTAAGACCCATAGAAAACGGAGCTCTCCTTTCTTGTGCTTGGTGACTATTTCTTGTCTACATCCTGCTAACATCTGAAACCCCCAGCACAGACTAAGCCAAGAAGTCACCCAGAGTGGCAGTGTCCCTAAATGGTACCGAGCATTTCTCACAAGCTGCTTTAAACCCTCCTCCTCAATACAGTCACAGCTGGACTTAGGTAATTCAGGAGATGAGACTCACTCATGAAGGGCTTGCTCCCTGGAGGCTGTAGAGTAACATAAGATTATGCAGAGATGCTCTCGAGCACAGAGCACTGCCCTCCACTAGCAGAATCTTTCAGCTCACCCTCTCAACCCAGTGAACTGTTTGACCAGCCTCACCAGCTCCAGTCCAGGCAGTCGGGCATGCAGAGACAAGCACAGGGAAAAAAATTGGGTAGCCCCAGAGGAAAACACGTGCCCAGCACGTCTCCCCCCCAAGCTCCAACACCTCCGCTCAGCAGGCAGCGTCGGGCCCACCTTCCCTCGGGAGCCGTACCCCTGGGTTCCAGAAGAGCTCTGCAAACACCACCAGGTCGGCAGCAGACAGCGTCAGGCCCATGTTGGCAGCAGTGAGGGACAGGACGGCCACAATCTGCTTCTCTGAGAACTGGAACCTCTGGCACAGGGACTGCCGCTCAGCTGAAGGCGTGGAGCCATCGATGCGAATGTATTCAATGTGCTGAGAAAGACATAGGAGGGAGACACTTAGCTGCCCTGTATCCCATTTCCAGTCTCCCCATTTCCTGTTTTAGAGGAGTTCTGCTTTCCTTCCCCACACCAGTGCTAGGAAAGTTAAATAAACAAACTGTGAAGCTGAAATAGTGATGGAGTTAATGAATCTCAGCCAAACACTTACTTTCTTCTCCAGTTCTGCAACTATTGCATCCAGCACTATCTTGTGATGAGCAAACACTAGGAATTTATCTTTCCCACTCTCCAGTAACTCCAGAATGTATTCTCTACATAAAAAGAGAACAGAAAAAAAATGAAAATCAAAACCTAAACAAAATCCCACAACTCTGATTTATGTGCTGAGAGAACGCAGGCTTTGCTCACAACAAATCTAAAAGTTACTGTTCATCCATATACAGAAACCAGGAATAAATTTAGCATAAAATTCATTAACGTGTAGGTAGCATATTAATCCTCTACAAACTAAAAGATAAAAGTCTGTAGGAAAACTCAGTCATTTTAGACCACAGGCAGACAGATGCCTGTAATTATACTTGTATAAGACCTAGAACCCCTTGATTATCCTAATTGAAAAATGACTTCATAGACAATCGACTGAAGTCACCTACACTTATTTGACTATCCCATTCACTCTTGTATTATTTATATGGTTACTTAGAATTATGTTCATTTTAGAAGAAAAGGCCTCTAAACACATGGCATCAGGATATCCCAAAAGCTGCTTTTCTTCAAATTGACAATTTACCACAGCTTAACAAGCTATAAATACGGGCTATTTTTAGAAACTATGCATATTAGCCAATGACAAATGAGAGGTAGCAAAAATGAGAGGTTCCTTCTAAATCAAATTAAGAGTTTATTAAATCAAAACATTTGGCATTTGCCATGGGCTAATAGTGTAAGAGTGTACACATAAATGGGTTCTGCATTTCAGCTTTTATGTAGTAACTCAGAAAGTAATCAGGTCAACTATAAACTGAAGCCTGAAAAACACCTAAAAGCCTAAAATGTGTAACTAAGTATAGTGACAGCCATCAGAGCAGATGATACAAATGTCATCTTTTCTTTAGAACAGCAAAGCTGTTGCCAAAATAAGCATTACCGAGTTCTTTGCTAAATACAACACAGCTTAGGTCAGCAGCAACTGGCAGAAAACACCAAGTGGGATTTCCAGCACTATATTAAGATGGATCAGAGCTTTGCAGCCAACTCCCTGCGTTCTGTAATGTTCAGATCCCAGTTATGATAGTATCATTTAACAACGAAATCTGGGAGAAGAGGGGGACTGCTGGGTTTAAACGAAAACAAGTATCAAAATGAACATTCAGCAACCAGATGCCAAGACATTACAACTATTGAATACCTCATTTGCAGACATCCATTAACCAAGGTCCAGTCATTACAGGGCACAGAAGCCCTGTAAAAACTGTCATCAAGAACAAGGCACAGGGGGTACTGATGATCCTAAGATAGCAGTGGTAGCTAGATGTCATTGTACATGACCAAGTTCTAGCAAGTGATATTTTAAATGGTATTAAAACCCCAGAAATGAGAGGACTGTCTCCCATCTCTCAGTGTCTACAGAGTCAAGTAAACACCACTTCACAGTTTTATATTCAGTTCACACTTGCAACTGAATATAAAAGGAAGAAACTCTTCTAACTGTTCGCTAACATAAAAGGAAGAAACCTTTCTGAAGAAATGAGAGCTGGGATTCTGAAGTGCAGTTCCGTGCCAAATGGACGGATTCTGCAGCAAGGTCTGAGACTGTGAAATCACACAGGGCACATTGGCTGGCCCAAACATTCAGAGGGCCACGAGAAGCAAACTGCTGGCATGCTATTAGCATCCTGCTTATTCACAAGTCATACGAAATGACCTAATATGACTCCTTTGCATTTCCAGCAGAAAGGCCAGGAATTAAAGGACACAAAAGGAAATTATTCCCAGGGAGTTCATAGCACACCTATGGGAGAAAATTCTTGTTACTAAGGTGCCATGGAAACTCTGCGGAGGAGCTAAGCCAGGACGGGTTGCGATATCCTCAGAACACACTAATACTAAAGCTCTCTCTTTCTCAAAAGCTTCTTGGATCAGGGTTTCTGCTGCAACAGTACTGCAGTGTTTGGTTTCCTCAAATTCCGTTGATACTTTTGGTTTCATTACTCCATCCCTCCCTAAACTGAAATAGGGTCTGAACATTAGGGAAGCTGATCCAAGTCCCAGACACTGACTAATTTCAGATGGTTCAATTGACACTGTTTAGATCCATATCTAGAATGAAATCAAAAAGATTCATTCAGTCTAGGAACTCTGACAGAAGTAAATGTTTAGAGCACTGCATTTTTTTTTGTGCTGGTACTGTTATCTCTAAGGCACCATTTTCCTGTTCTCAGAGAAAAAATGCATTTTACTAGGTAAGCATGAAGTACAGACGTGCAGCTTACACGACTGAGTGGATTTTAGCTTCTGCTGTTCTGTTGTAGAAGAGGAGAAGAGCTTCTTTTTCCTGTTGTTTCTGCAGAGAGGAAGATAAATTTCTGTGAGTCTCAACTGCCTTTTATTCTTGCTTACAAATCCTAGAAAAATACACACAATTTGCAGGGGCTCCTCTTAGCACCAGGCATGGCTGATACTCACACACTCACATTTCTGCGATCAATTCCCTCCCTACTCCCAACTCCACTCCTGTAAGACGGGTGACAGGCATATTACAAATACAGCTTTAGCTGGGAAAGCATTTCCAAACTAAAATGGCAAGAAACACTCCCGAGTCCTTATAGATCTGCATTAGAAAAACAGAAGCTTAGGACATACATTTGCCATCCACAGAGGAAAAATAAATGTAAAAATAAATTCTTCCCATTTTTGGCCACCGATGTGTTCCACAACATAATTTCAACAGGCTTTGCAAGGTGAATGGGAGGCAAAGCAGTACAGAGGAGTCAGTCCAGCAGCAGAAGAAGCATAAAAAGACGATTACAAAGGACTACTGAGAAAGGAAAAAAAGACAGAGCAAATAGCGTTTGACACAAAGGGACAAAGCAAAGCATTTAAATCAAAGGGAGAATAAAAAGCTGATCTGTTTTGATATTCATTTAAAATTATGCTCTTAACAGCTTTTAGCTGTCCATCCATGTGGGGTATAGCTCTGACTTCCTTTGGAACAGGGGATGCTGTTTTTCACTGATGTTTTTAATTCAATCCTAAAAACAAAACAAAACAAAACAAAAAACCACCAAACCCAGCAAGTTCTTTCTACCTGAAGGCTCCTGAAATATCAATGGCTCTTCACAAAAAATTCTGACTTACACTTTCATACCCTTTGGCCATCCTCTTTGCTGCGTCTGCCAGGACAGCTTTGGTTTTTGCGTTCATGCCCTCGGGAGCCACCACCACCATTTTGCGCTGCTTGGCTGGGAGCTGGGAGAGCACGTCTGACTTCAGGCGCCGCATCATGACGGACTCTTCCAGCAAAATCTTCAGTTCAGTTAAGTTGGATGATCCAGAGTAGTCCCAACCCCATGGCATCTGGCAAAGATCAAAGCACAATTATCAGCATTAAACTTATAAAAAGACTGACTCTTCTCACCTAGAGGTAATCTGACAGTGGAACAAGCTTCCAGGAAAACCAGACAAGGCAAAAACCTGATTATTAGTAGGAAATATCGGGGAACCTTTCTTCCTAAAAAGACACCCACCTTTTTATTTTAAAGGGACACATGCTTAGTACTGCCTTCAAACCAAATACAATTGCCCTATCTGAAAACAGATTTCACAGGAAAAGGAAGGTACTTCTGTTCTCTACTTCTATTTGTGAGCAGCTTTTAAAGCAGATTTTAATAAGAAAAATCTTAAGACAAAAATCTTCTCTCCTGGCCTGAGGACAAAAGATCCTCAACCCAAATACCTTCACAAAGACCCTATACTTGTCTGGCATGCCCAGTAAATGCTGGATCAAAACTGACTGTTCCACACTGTGACCTGTCTCTTGGTCTGCTCCCTGATACATTCTGTTTTTATTGCTATCATGTTTGGCTCAGAGGTTTCCAACTCTTGTGAAACATAAATATTTTTTACCTCAAAATATATCACTCAAGGTACCATCTCTTCAAAGTACCATCACTTCAAAGCTCCTTTGAATAAACCCTTTCTTTTTTCCTTCCTGAAGCACTCGCTTCCACACCTGCCCCACAGTCCATGATTCTTGGCACAGTCAGATACATCTGTTCCATCAGTTTTAGCTCATCGCTTCTCCCTCTGGTAACCTCACAGCCTGTAGTTTCTTCTCCAGGAAAGAATAACTAATGAACATGACAAGCAGTGGCACCAAAACTGGTAAATTCCCCAACCAAAACATCTCGCAACAATACATCTTTGGACAGGACACCAATGAGGATTTTTACATTGACTTAAAATATAAAGCAATAGCTTCTTGCTGAAATTTCATAAATAAGCAAATAAAGCAAAATTACAGTAAAACATATATATATATATATATCTTCCCCATAGTTCTAATTCTAAACCTTATTTGCAATATCAGAAAAAAAAAGGAATAAAAATACAAGCTCTGGTCTTCGAGCTGCAGTCCAGAGCAACCCTTACACATGCATAAACACACACACATGCTCCTGAATAGCATAAAACTGCAACACAAGGAACCTCAGTACCAAATAATTTCACCTGCTATTCCACTCCTATTACATCACACTAATTATCATCATAGTTTTAAGCTTAAAAATACTTCACATTTTTTATCTTCCCAAGAGAAATTATATACAACAAGAAGTTTGACGTAAAATAGGAAAAACTTCCAAAACATTCACTATGACCTCCACCCTGCTGTAGAATGGAGACAAAAATGAATTCATACCAGCCAGGGTTAGTAATATTATTTTGTTAACAGATATTGACTTTATTAGCAGATAGTGCTTGGATGGAACAGGGAGGAGAACATGGCACAAGACACAGAAGGAAATCAAATGGGTCACAGAAAATTGAGACCTCGCTGATATTCGAAAGTGAATGTTCCTTCTTCTGGGTGGGACATAATAAATTTGCAATGCTGTTTCCATATTGTACTGGTCTGAACCATGAACAACTGCAGATTCTGGCACCTATAATCACCTTTGCATTTAATCTAAACCTACACAATTACAGTACCTTCCAGTTACCTGTAGCAGCTGGTTCATTCAAGTTAGCAAGAATTCCAGCCGTAGACACACAGCCCATTTGGGTGTTGTTGAGTAATTTGGCTCTGGAAACAGCAGAATGGGACACAGATAGGGGAAGTAAACCCATCCGGATCTAAGCCAAGCACAGGTATTACTGTACTGCATCCTGCAAGCACCAGCGTGGTGCAGACACATCCCTTCCAACCCATGCAGGGCTGAGCCCCAGCCCCGGGGCTTCCTTCTGCACCTCCTGAAACCGCAGAGCCGACAGACACGGGGAAGCAGCCGGGAGCCGGCGCTCCAGCCGGCCTGGCCGGCGGCACTCGGTGCTCCCAGGCCTCGGCAGCAGGAGCTGCTGTGGGCTCTGGGGCGCTCCCCTCGGGGAGACTCATTTGACTCATGCAGCCCATGGTTTTTTCCCTTTACAGTTGTGTAATGAGCGATACGTGTAGCTGTGTCCACGTAGCACAACCCATTCCAGAAGAATAACATCACAACTCAAAGAACAGGGCACAGGCAGAGCACAAACCCTGCCTACTGTCATACCAAACAATACACAGAGGCACAAGCCCAACGGTATGTTCCAATTATCATATTTCTTCTATGGTGATTGCATTGCTGAAGAATTTGCAAACAGGGAAGATGCTTGTCCCATGTTGTGTCTAGCAAGTGATTAAAAAAAAAGGGTTGTTCTTGAAACTATTAAAATATATTTCAGTATATCCTACTGAAAAAAAAAAAGAGAGAAAGAAAGAAGAGGGACATTTATTTTGCCAAAATACACATCTGACTTTGGTCCATAACATTCCAGAACAAATGCATCAAACTGTGATTTTCTTACCAAAGTGTTACAGCATCTTACATGACTCAGTAAACTTATTACAGTGCTAGCAGAAGCTGCCAAACTCTTACAAATTCAGAGCATGTACTCATATAGAAATTATTTAATATTTGCCAACATCAACCAGTTTGCAAAAACAAATTCATGGCATGTATTTTGAGAAACAGACTCAAGATATTTTGCAAATAACCAGGTGACATTTCAGTTGCTGCATTTTTAATAATAGAGATGCTGGGAGGCTGAACTGCAAACTGATAAACTTTTATTTTATGTCTTTTCCAATCAAGCCTGTCAGATAGTTGCAGTTTTATGCCATGAAATCCATTCTTTTCAAATGGAAAGTTACCAGGATCTGGTTTTGAAATGAATGATTCAGGTTTGTCAACTTTTATTTAATTTTACAATATAATCGGATTTATTAATATCAAAACATTTTTGCATAACACCTTTCATCCTAACAGCTCTTCAAAAGCTTTACCAAACCTCTCTGATTCTGTGCAATATGATTCCTGCCACTGCAGGGCAGGAAGAATCACCTATCTAAATAACAAAAACCAAAGCACCGCAACAGTTCTTAAGGGAGGAAGCAGCTCTAACATCATCCCGGATTAGAACCATAGAAAGGAATATGAAGGAGATACTGCAATCAAAATACCATTTTTATTCATTCTTAGCTGAGTGGATCTATCACAACCCAATATTCAAAAGTAGCCTCCCTAAACTTAGCCCCATCTCTCCATTTACCGCCATTGTTTTTCTTCTGCAAATAACGTAATTCTTTCTAAATTCACTCTATCGTTTACTAACATTAGCTGCCCTAAGTGAACACAGAGGAGACAGTCATGTTCAACTACCTGGCAGAGCTGGGTCAAATTGAGAAACAAAAATTGTACTAGCAACCCTGCAGAGGCTTTGAAGGGGAGCTGATGCAAACTGTGACCTCCATGCTGAGTTGCACTGTAGGCTGAAAACTCATTTACACAGAATACACTGCCACAACCTGGATTGTGCAGAACAATTTTATTTCTTTTATTCAATTCAACATCCTACCTGAGGTCCATATGCCTTGTAATTGAAGCAGCAGCCACTCATGCAGAACTTTACCCTCCAAGATTTTATGAAACTTCAAGCCTATTCAGGCTCCCACATTGCAATTGAACCTTTCTTTCTGCACGCCTTTGTTTCCCTGTAGGAGCCATTCTGGACACTGCTCAGACAGGAATCGCTCAGCAAAGATAATGAAACTCAGCAGAACGTGCATCCCCTTCCTTCCTTCCCTCCCTCCCTCCCTTTGAGCTCTTCCTCCATATGTTTCCTACTATAGATGGAGATATCATAAGTTTCTGTTCTCTGCAGGAACACTAGTAGCACTTTGCTAGCATGAATGCTGTCACCTTTCAGACCTAAGGCTCTGTGACTGTGATTCCGCATTTTAAATAACCTCACTTTCATCAATACTATCAGTGTATCAGTCAATAGGAAGACTAATGCATTGGTCATGTATTTTGCACATCTGAATGTACATAGAACAGCACTAGGCAGGCTATGAAAGGAAAAGTGGGCACTTAGATCTAGGAAAAATGCAACTTAGTGACTTCAGATGAGACTGCTGTATAAATCTTCTTAATGAGAACTTGGCATGCATTAGCTACTAGAGAAAATTTGAGAAAACACAACCTACAAAAGTCCTACAAGTGGACATATTTACTTTTGCAGAATACATGGATGATAGGCGGGGTTTTTTTTTGGTAAATATTTTTGATGTGTTTACGCGGCCAATTGGCATTTCCAGCTATTCTAGGTGGTTACTGCCCACTCATATAGAAAACAAGGCACAAGAAGTGAAGGAGCTTACTCGAGGACAAAGCAGAGGAAGTCACATTTGGGCACTGCAGGCTCCTGTTCACACTGCCAAGCCACCCTATGCCACATGCTAATCACTATCTGCTACCTGCAGCAGGTAGAGAGGGCTCTTGGTCCAAATCAGAACTCACTTGTGACTTTGGTTCCCTTCTTTGTTTCCATATAAGCAACATAAAAGATCTCACAGACTCGACAGACAACAGGCAGCAGCAAAAGCTCTACTCCTAGTGGCCTATTTTCCAATGCACACAGGATTTGCCTGGAGATGGCAAATCCAACCACAGATGAATTGCCTGTGTGTAAAGTGCAAGGCAGAGACTTGCCATTGCAGCTGCCAGGCCTGGCTTCCTGCAAAGCTGGTAGACAGAAGAGAATATATTTTAAAATTATGTTGGGGACCATGTTCATGGCCAGAATTAGGGGAGAGCAGAATACAAAGATAGCCTAGAAATAATTTTTTAACCTAGCTGCAGGCATAAAATCCAAAATCCTACACAACAAAGGCCTTGCATCATTAAACAATTGCTAACCTAGACTAGACACTTTTTTTTTTTTTAAATCAATTAGCCTAATCCTGCAGCTGCTCAAAGAGCCCACAGTGACTTTGTGCATTAAAAGCACCCTAGAGGTGTTTTCAGAACAAGCTACTCTCCCCCAGGCAGGAGCAATTTGTCACACAGCTTTTTAACTCAGTGTCCTTCTGGGCAGGTTTTGCAAAGAAATGTCAGTACCTCCATGTCTCAGGTCCACTGTTTAATGGCAACATTAAGAACTTCTCAGGTTGAGAGCCTTCAAAACATTCCTATGGAGTGAAAAGGAGACTTTTCTCAAAAAGAGGGACACCTCCCGCCACCCACTCAAGTACCTTCTTGGCATCACAGTAGCGGAGGCCGAAGGAGTGGAACTGCGGGAAGAAGGCGGGCTGCACAGCCACGATCTGCGTGTAGAGCTCCGCGGGCCGCGACATGGCAGGGGTTCCCGACAGCAAAATCACCCTCCTGGCAGCCTGGGAATGCAAAGCCACAACGTTTTCATCATATGCTTTCCAGCATAAGCTGCACCTGCGAGGAAGAAATCCCCCACCCCAGGAGAAAACCCGAGACCTTTTGTTCACGTAGTCTAAAGAGAAGAATGTGTCACCTTCCAAAAACTGTCTTCAGTGCCTTTCACTGTCTAAAGATGCTCAAGGATAGTGCTTTAAACTTCTAGGAACTGGCACAAACTATATTGCTTCTTACACACCATCCGCATGACGGAAGGGAAGGAGACACCTATTTTTATGACACTACTCTTGAGAATTTGTATTTACTGCCCAGACACATTACTATCTTACACTTGTCTTAAAGATGTATTTGGCATCAAATGCTGCTGGAATATGCCACAAACCCCTCTCAGGTATATCCTCACCCCCAGACTAAGTTAACTTATAACAAGCCTGCCAGAGCAAGTCAGGAACAAACTGTCTTGCTCATGGAAGCAGAAGGGATCTAGATAAACAGGATTTTTTTTCTTTTCTTTCAGTTCTATTTTTTTCTTTTAAATTCTACTAGCAAGAAAACAATGACAATGCTGCCCAAAATGGATCCAGAAGATGTCCACTTGGCAGCCAAAGTAAATGCTAGAACATGAGTTAATACATAAGAATCATATAAAAACATTATAAACAATGCTTTGTACAGGAGATAGGAGGGAAAGAAAAGAAAAAAAAAAGTTATCTAAAGTAGGTGCTTCTAAAAAAGTAAGTGGAAAAAGATTACATCACAGTCCACAAAAAAAGTCCAGGATGTATTTCTGCCCTCTTACCTCCAGTATTATATAACTCTATTATTAGAGGAGAGCTATGAATTTCTACTGCTGTAAATTCACATATAGTAGTTAAATTACACATGCCTTGTAATTTCCTGCACGGTTTAATGCAGATCATTAAAATAACAAAGAGATTCTTGAGTGACATCTGTACCAACAGCTCATTCACATTTAAATGAAAAAGAAAATGAAATTCTTTTATCGTTTCACTGAGATCTACCAGCCACCCAATCTATTCAGCTGATTCATTCACTCGCCATCCAAATCTCGTGGAAAAAGAGTTCACAGATCAGCTAGCGGAAATTAATTTCAGGATTCTTTATCAGGTATTTATATATAGGCTGTCAAAGTGGGACTTCCCTTCCCCCTCTGTCCAAGCAGATCAGACGGAGATGTGATCATCACTGGGATTAGACAGTTCTTTGTATTTTTTAAGCAGTATTTTTATTAAAGAGAGTAAGAGAAAACTTTTAATGTGTGAGAAGGCAAGTGTTAGTTCACACAAGACAAAGGTCCTTATGTCGATCAAAAAAGGAACAGGTCACAGGGGCTCAAAAGTTATCAGATCCCATGAGGGAACAAAATAATAAAGGAGAAATAGGGTCAGTTCTTAAAGCGAAGGTTAACAGAGTAGAGCTGAGCAGAGCCTGGACAATACCCAGTGCTTTGCAGAAGTCTTTCAGGTGTTAACTGACAGCAGCCTGGGAAATCTTTGGAAAGGAAAGACAAGCTAGTTCCACATTGGCAGAAAACCTCAGAATCAAACTTCTTCCTCCCAGACTAGCAGGAGGCCACAGGCCACTGCTAGGGGGAAAAAAAGTCAGCCTGCAGGTTACTTGGCTACCTGCTCCCTAAGAGTAGATCAAGTTTAGGATGGAGGAGGAGGAGAGAGCACAACTGTGATTTCACCAGAAGCTCCTGGGAGAGCCAGCAGAAGTCACGGACATGGCAGGAGACGAGCACAGCGGGGCTGTGTGGTGCCCCCGTTCCTGCTGGTGCCCCTGCTCCTCTGGGCTGCTACCCCACGAGTGCAGGGGGACTCCCTGGAGACACAGCCCCATCAGGGGTGAACTGGCTGCACATGGGTTCACAGCACCTTGCTCCTCCCCACCCCTGCCTCTGCTCCTGGAAGTCAGGGGCAATTCACATGCTGTGGCCCCAGTGGGAAAGCTCCACTTCAACTGAGGCTTCTAAAAGTAGTAGCACTAAAACTGAGCTGTGTAGAGTCACACAATTGGAGGAAGGATGAATTCCCAAGGAAGATAATTCAGTCTAGCAACAAGGCAAACACCTGTTTTCCAGTAAGCAAATGAGTCAGCTCCTTCCAGATAACCCTGGACCAAGCTAAAGTGACACTCATAACTGACCAGCACATGCTAAATGCAGTGTAAAGCCAACTGTCCTGAAATGTCTTATCCCTCCACCAAAGCTCCTCCACCCAGGATCTACTACAGGAGATGAGGCTGGACCCCTGACTCCCAAGCAGTGAAAACAATTAGCTGGAGTCTTTACTCCTTCCCTTATCTCTAAAGAGACACCAAAAGAGGGAATTATTTGCATGTCACTTGGATTCTAAACTTGTCCAGATGCTGCTCCTCTATGTGCATTTTTTTAAAAAAATTTCTTTTTGGAACAGCTAAGGCAATTAACCACCACAAGAACTTAGCAAGGGTTGTGATACATCTTCTATAATTAACCATTTTACAAATCAAGATGTGAAGATGAAAAAAAAATCTGGCAGACATTAGCTCTACACGAGGTGTGAACAGCTTGAAAAAATATTAATTCCAGAAAAAAAAATTCCTATGATAAAATTCCTATGGTGGTCTAACTAGTTATTCCAAAGGTCCTTTTCAGACTTAAAACCCTTGAAAGAAGACTCTTAGAGAGACAAGGCTCCAAGTGTTGAAGACACATTTGAATCCTGGGTTAAAGCGAGATCTGAATCACATTTCTTTTGCTATTGGCAACTCATTCTAAATAGAAGCCAACAAAGATTTGCTCCTGCAGAGAAATCTCTGCTGATTACTGCTTATTCCTGTTTCCTCCTGAACCTTCTGTGGTGTCAGAAGTGACAGTTTACCCTCTCTCTTCCAAAGCTTATAACAACAATATGGAACAGCAGCTGCAGAAAATAAGATCTCAGTGACCAGCAAGGACATTCTAGCTCTTTCTAGAAAGTCATTGGTCATGAACTGTTACGTATCTGCACGCAGAGCAGCAGCTCCCCATGAGCAGTTAGGTAGGAAGTGTCCTCTTTCCCACCAGAATGCCCCTCGTATCCCTGTGACTGTTCTTACAGCTACTTTCCTGGGCGATTATTTAAGGGAACTCGGACACTTACTTGATTAGTGGAGACCTCTTTCGTAGCTCCCATTTATGGAGCAAGAAAAGACATTTGGGGCATTATGGCACTCTGCTTGCGCACGCAATATATCAGCCAGGATTTAATTTCTCAGCTGCGACAATGTTTATAAAAGTCATTTTTGAAAGTCAAAGAGTAATTTATGAGGTGCTAACCCCCACAGTGACACTTACTTTAGAGGTCAAAATCCAGCACCCAGCTGATTCCAGGGTGTGAGTGGGGTGGTTATGCCATGAAGAAATAATTGAACATGCAAAGAGCCTCATTAACATACAATGACTCTCTTGGCTTTAAATGAATTTCACAGCATGAGCTCTGCCATATGCTAACAGACTGACATGCTTACTTTAAACCTGACTGGTTCAGGATGTACAGTTACCTGTGTCCCCAAATTTGCTTACTCGGTCTTTTTGAACTGCTTAAAACAAGAACACATTACCCTGGCAAATGAAAAATTTAAGACTGACCATTAAATAACAAAATTACTTGATAAAAATGAAAGAATCGATAAAGGTAAGGGGCTATAGCTGTTTTTGGAGTTCATTTCTGCTCTTAGGTGAGATAGCAACCTGCATTTCATAGACAGATCATCTAGTGGGTATCCCCAAAATGTAAGTGCCTCTTGCTCAAGACACACCCCAACACAGAACATGTGTCCAACAGTGACGAGCACCTGCAACGGGAGAAATCCCTCTGACTTCCCTAGTTAAGAAGGAAGGGGAAGTGGAAATTGTGAGCAGAGCTAAAGATGCAGCACAGGCCTGGAGGGCCCACAGCTTCTCTGAGTTCAGGAAAAGTTCCTTCTCTCAGTGGCTGACAATGAGCAAAGGCTTCTTTACACAGCTTCTGTGGAGTTTCAGTGCCTAAAGAGAGCAACTATTTATTTTGCACTGGAAAGGGAAAAGGTGCTGTTTCCTCTTCACCTTCAGTATTGACCTATTTTCCTCTATTATTTTTGAGCATCTCTTTATTAAAACAAGGTCATTCAAAAAGTATCAAGATTCCAGTTCCACAATGTATTTGGACTTCCGTAACAGAAGCAGAGACCCTTAACCCTGCACACATCAGGACGTCATCACGCTATCAACCTGAAGAGCAGCTCCAAAGGAACACTCACATGAGCAGCGTTACCGGTGTGCTGTGGAACAAAACTCACATGGAGCACAATGGAAATGAGTCCCTTTTATGTCACTGGAACCTCTGATTAGGTACTACTTTTATTTCTCTCTTTTCTAAACCAGTTTTTCATTAAAACTTTCTATAAGGCTTCCAAACTTTTATCCACATTCCAATGGGACATTCTCCAATTTCCATTGCGTTGTGACACTCATGCAATTACAGACGAACAAAGAAAAGGCAGCATTTTAGCTGGTCAAAGGATGCAGACTCCTTTTCACCCAAGTCCCCAGCAGACCCCAGCAAAGATCAGTGAGAAACTTCTACTTCGTTGTTTCTTCATCTACTTCCCCCTGGGGCTTTGATGTTTCCTGCATACTGGTAGCATACAGAATCCCTCTCCACTGCTCACTAGACTGTGGGCCAGTCTAGTGTTGGAAGAAAAAAATGAAACTCGAACAAAACCTGGAACACAACATTTTTTGCCTTGGAGAGGCGAAAGTCAGGCAGGGTCATAGGAAACAAGCAGTACTGACAGCAAGCTCAAGAGAATGTACTCCCAGGCATGAGCCTGAAAAACACGAAACAGAACACTAAGAACAAAAAAGAAAAAACAGCAAGGTGACAAGTAGGTCCTATTACTGATTGTCACACCTGTGGATCAGGGGGTAGAGACAAGCCAGGCCTGACAATGGCAGCTCAGCCAAAGCCGAGCAACATGAAACTAGTCTTACTTGGAAGCAAGAGGAAAGGACTTTCTTCTGAACACAGGAACTTTTTTCCTTGAGTACTATCAGAGATGGGGACAGATCTCACACAGCTGCTGGCACAGACTGGCTGGCATGAAAGCTGGCCGAGTTTGAAAGGGGATTTTTGCCACATGCCAAGACATCAAAGGACTGTTTTCAATTACAGCTTTCAATCCATACGCCTCCGTGTTTTTGGAGGGATGCACACAGGCTGTGTACAGACTCCACCACTGACTCGGCACAGGCAGGTGAAGAATTCTCCTCTATGTACAAGTTGGCAGTCCACAAGCTTGCGCATCCACAGGGACCTTGAAGGGAGTAAGAAATCCTGCTGCTCCTAGCTCAGCTCACTCTAAAGCACAGTCTGGGCAACGGTTAGTTCCTCCCTCCAAGTTTTGGTCAATAAAAATAATAGGGCATGACGCATCTATATGCTTATTCTAAAGTGATAGTAACTTGGGTCAAGCTACCAATTAGGGAACATGGCACCACATCCTTCAGGCTATTATACAGGCCCGAAGTCTTTCTGATCACACTTCCCATTGTCTGTAGGCAAAACTTCTCCAATTTTCTGACAGGTTAGAAGCAAAATCTGTCATAAAAGATATCGAGTGCTACACAGAGAAAGAAAAAGTTCTTTTTTTTGTTAAATATGAGCAAAACTTCTAGGAGATCCCAACTATCAGACTCGGACCAGGTGTTTAACACATGGCTCTTCGACAATGCCGTTCTGCACTTGCTTCACAACATACAAAGAACTGTAAGAAAGTATGATTTATAACTGAGGGGTTAAAAATATAATTTATAACATTTCATTTGCAAAACTACCCATATCTTCAGATATTTAAGATTAGAGTTTGGCTTAAGTATGGTAACCATGGGCTAAGTATTTCAGTGATAGAGTTTGGGCTTGGCTGTTTAAAAAGGGAGATTCAAAATTAATGATCAAGTTAAGTCATCTTTATTATGGATGTATTGATCTAATTTGATAATTATGCAGTTCTGTCTAGACATTTGTTATATTTTAGATAATATTCAAGCAGTGAAGTCACAGGAGCAGATCCTACCAAAATAAAAAAGAGCCCATTGAGTCCAATGGAAGTGATATTGTCAGACTCAAACATTTCTATTTAGACCTGGCCTGTGTTGTTATAGACTCACAAATGTTTGTAGCAACTAAAGCCCAGAGATCACATTTCCTAGGTCTTTAATTTCTTTTTTCCTCTCCTCATAAGCAGTTCAAGGATAAGGTTTCAGGTTCAGAAGACACATCACTATCTGCTATTCTAGAAAGCTACCGAAGCATCCCCTGTGAGATTTGGGTAAAGGGGTGTCTCAGAAAATCTGCCTTACAGCAACCAAAGAGCTTGAAGGCAGTAGGACCAGAGTCTGGAGAAAGCTCTGAACCTCCGAAGGCTTGGAAAGGCTCACAGCTTAGCAATGGTTGATCAACCCCCCAAAAGTTGTCATTTCCCTTGCAGGGCTTTTACCACTGACGACCAGGAAAATTGGAGCTCTTGTTACTTTAACCCCTTCTGGCACCTCACTTAGCTTTTGTTTCTTCAGGAGGTGGAGAACCTCAGAGGAAGTACAACTAACTACAGCCATTTAAGAAAGTTTAAAGCAGGTCAAGGGCAGCAACAGTTAATGTTGGACAATGGCACTGAGTCAGCTCTAGGGCACTGGTTACAGCTCTGGCACACCTTGATATTGCTTCTGGCACATCAGTCCCTACTGAAGGCATTGCCTTAAGACACAGCTGTATTTGGTATCTTCTGAGCTCCTACCTTGGCCTCTTCTCTACTGCTCTAGTCCTTTTAATGAAAAGGAAGCAGAAGCAAGAATATTATCCTCAGGACTCAGACTTCTGGCAACAAATAGCAGCACATTTATCAATTGATTTTATTCAACAGTCTCATTGTACCTTGTAAAATACTGAAATGCTCCCATTTTTACCATATTGACTATTTCCTATACTGTCACATTGTCATGCTAACTTGATAAAGATAACACAGTACAGTTATTAAAACTAACATTCCAGTAATGAAAGCTCCCCACATCTTGGCTGTTCTTTCAAATGAGAGAACATTGCTGTGATGCCCTGTGCCAGCAGCGAGCACATCACTAGCAGTTGAGGACAAACCTACTAACTGACCTGGTTTTCTGAGCATCTAATAGTAAATGTTCTTAAAAGGTTCCAGTCCTTTCTTACCATATACTGTTTACAATCAGGAAAACACGTGGCGTGAACATGAGACTCTGAACACTTTTAAGAGTCTGAAATTCAGTTTCAGAAGCACCAGTTCTCAATTCTGCATGACCACTGATGTGACAGCATAAAACGGTAAATTCTCAGTAGGTTCACAAAGGCATGTAATCTCCATTTAATAGGATATCATCCTTCACTCACTTCTATCTTGTAGCTCACAAAATTTTGGCAAAATGATCCTTACAAAGCTACACACAGAAAACTGAGGCTGCTTTATGAGTATTCTGCAGAGAGATGAAGTTGCTACTTTCCATCATTTTAGGACACAGATCCCAGGTACGGTACTTTAAATTGCCAGTAATATGGGCCTTCCTACTCGGTTTCCAAACACTTGAAGCCTGAAGCCTTTCCAAAGCCAACAGAGGACAAGCATCAGACCCTTAAGTAGAATGATGAGGTTATCATTACAAAGACAACAACCTTTAGCTTACTATTAACAATCTCCCCCAGATAAAAACTGGTTGTCAGTGGCACTACCAGGATGAGATCAAATGAGCTCTGGATCTCTTTTTTGGGGCTTCACTATCCAACATTCACATGGGAAGAGGCAGCTAAGACAGAGAAAATCCTGCTCTTGGATCAATGCAGTGCTACCTGGATTTTCATTGGCACAACAGCAGATCTGAGCTGCTCACTCCTACACCTGGAATAGAGAGCCTTGGAAATGAACTGCTGAAGGTTTGGCACACCACATACACACCTTTAGAAGAGGCATGGCAGCTCGGCATCGTGCAGTTTTTACGTTCTTTAGGAAATGAGATTCATCCTGAAACAAAACAGGTACAAAAATGAAGAGAATTGTGAGCCACAGTCCAGCTCCTCGATAAAGAATGAATTCCCAGCATCCTTGTCTATCTAATATTACAAGGCTGTCATCAGAGAGGAGGTTTCAAGAGCTGGGACAGTCACATCAGATTCTAAACATGAAGATGGCAAAGGGAGCAGCAGGGCTTCCTGCACTAAAATCCATAGCTGCAAGCAAATAGAACAGAAATCAAACCTTAAAGCCATGAATCGTAAACAACCACAGCAAGTGAGTAGATGGGGGAGGAGAGAGGAGGAGAAAGAGAAACCGTTTCCACCACTGGTAGTCATTTGCCAAAATGCATCCTTAAAATGTAGCAAACACAGGAAGCCTCCACACTGCCACTTCCCTAAACAAAAGGGTTAATGAAAACCACAAGAAAAAGAGAAATCTAATTAGGATCCAGCTGTTTTGCTGATAGGGCTCACCAGGTGGATAATGGCCTCCTACTTGAGGCATCAGCCCCAAACAGGATCCATTTCTACTGTTGTAGCTAGGCAGAACTTAGACACAAAAGCAATCGGCACCCTCCAAGGGTATGTTCTTATCTTGCCACGTGTGGATGAGCAAGCAGCCATACATGCAGGACAGTACAACTGCTTAACCCCCCAGGCACAGCCCTCTTCCTCCCAGGTAACAAATAAGCCGCATTCATGGCCCCAGCAGCAAAAAAAAAGATTGGAAGAAAAAGCAAAGAAGCACGACACTCAGTAGGACTATTCTCATCTGTAAAAACACGTACAGTGTTAAAAACTGAACATATAAATACACAGAGGGAAGACCTGTCAGCTCAGGGCTGGTTAACAGTACCAGAGCAACAGACTCAGAGCCCAAGTCCCTCCACCTCAAACACCAGCAAATAAAAATCAACAATCTGCATTTCTACCCTCCTGATGGAGCGCTTTGGGAGTGGGTGGTGACAAACAATCCCTGCATGAGTAAACTGGTCTCCCAGGTCACTCTATTCCCATCTTCCCAGCTGCTGCTGAGAAACAAAAGTCCTATTAAGTTCCAGTCATCATAATTTGGGTGACAGGTGCATCTGTTTGTTGTTAACCAGGCTGAGAACATTGAATGTTCACAAGAAGCTATGTCATTACTTTCAGTTGCTATTGATCCAAGCTGGATTTGACATACTAGATATTTTGAATTTTTACTAAGTGATAATCCAGAGAAACTCCTATTGCCATGGCTCCTTCTAAAGGTTACAATGGATTTCAAAGTCATTTACAAAGTAAATGACAAAAGATCAAAGAAAACTTGAATGCACATTGCCAGTAGAACATAGGCAAAAGGAGATTTTCATGTTTTACCCACACATACTTGGTGTTGAGAGGTTGTCTGATTTACTCGATAAACACTGAAATCAGTCTGAAGAGGGATTTCCTTACAGGGATAAAAATCCAGGACACATCACATGGAGTACCCGGTTCTCCAGCCAAAGGACATGCCCAACCATGAGTAAACCAGAGAAGTACCATATCCAGCAAAAAAAGAAAACAGCCTCAGGAATTATAAGAGCAAAGAGACTCTATTAGTTATCTTAAAAGGTTTTAGAGTGATCTACTACTACTGCTTATGGACAGAGCTGTGATCACAGCCACAATTACAATATAATTTCAGTCCCAAATAAGGCCTCCTTGCACTTCTCTGCTGTACAACACAAAGGTTACCCCACTTACAGCATGCAATTAACTTCAAAGATCACAGTGCAACACTTACAATAATAACTACTTGGAAAGTGTCTTTGAGCTGCTTGTCCATCTTGCTGAGGAGGTCAAAGCTGACAATGTTAATCAAGCTTGCTGTTAGGTTGTCTTTGCCAGACACTATGACGTTGGTGCTACCTGGCCTCAAAGATGGAAGCCACCTGTGAAATGCCTGGAAGAGAAGAGGGCAATTAATGGCATTCTGGTTCTCATGCCCTCTGTCAGGATCCCCAAGCCCTTCACAGATTGTAACTTGGCCCCCTGATGAATGCTTGGAACAGGGGACCACCCCACCCACAATTACAAATAAGCAGAAGCAAGGAAGGGTTAAGCAGCCAACACCAAGCCAACAACACTGCAAGCAGGAAGTCAGGCACAGAAGGCCAAAACCACTTCCGCAACTAGGAAAACTTGAAAGGGTCTAATTCTTACTTCTTACTGAAAAAGAAACTCTGATCTCCAGTAGAAATGTGCATAACCTTCTGACAATTTTATTTGCTACTCTCAGAGCCAGAATAGCAATGCAATGACCACTACTGGCAGGGAAATTTACAGTTTTCTTTTTAACAGGAAACTTCAGGCTGTGAAATACAGACTTCCAGGCAGTAAATATTTCACACTACAGCAGCATTTATTCCACAGGCACAATGAAATACAGCTCCTCCTGTTTAAAAAGGCAAACAAACAAAAAAACCCACCACCTATTCCACTACTGGTCCTGCTATAAATAAATAAAAATCAAGCTATCAAGCTGACATCTCACCAGCTAGCTGCTTTATGACAGCAACTGAAATACATATGGTGATATTTATTCAAAACAACCTCTTGAAATGCTGCACACACCCAAGGAGGATATCTTTCCCCAAATTCTTCTGTTAGGTATTGAGCACCCCTCATTTCACTTGTAATTCTGTGCCCAGGGGCACCAACCGCTCTGCAGTTCTCTGAAGAGAACTGACTGGGAATCTAGCAATGAAGGTTTGGTCCCTACACAAACAGATCCAACCAGTGATGGTGGGGAATGGCATCTCGGTCCCAGTCCCTTCACTTGTGGAAGTACCTCTGCCCACGTAAACCTCACAGAGGAAGGAGTCACCACGAGCAAGGGCCATTCCTTTCTGTAATAGGCAGCAATGCAGATCGCCTGGATAGTCTTGCCCAAGCCCATGTCATCTGCAAGAAGCAAACGTCCATTTCTTAGAATTGCAAAACTGTGGAAGAGAGAGAGAAGAAACATGTAAGAACCAAGAAATGGTCTAAAATTTGTCCCTGCAGCTAAGAACACAGCTTAGAGCAGGCAAGGAGCTCTTTCTAAAAGAATTAAGGAAGAAGGAACAGAACTAAATCCTGCAAACCATGGATGACACAACGTTGAATAGTGTCAACTGTAGTTAATGTCTTCAGCCTACTTCACTGTACCTGAAAAATCTAGATGCCTCTGCAGATTAAATCTATAAAGTGGATCTCTTGGAAGGGATCTGGATTCTTCAGTAAACTCAGATCTTCTCACTCAGCCTAATGCAAATGAGCAACACACACATGCATATGCAGACAAGTGTGTGCACACAAGTCTTAAAGCTTGGAGCTCAGTCCAGCTCTTAGAAACTTGGATCTCACACAAGGAGTAGTCTCAAGGCTTCAGCACATTCTTTGCACGGTATTATTTATGTTCTTAAGGTTCATTTTAGTCAGGCTAAGAAAACACTATAAATAATAATGCTATTTTAGTATCAGGTAAAGACTTTTCTGGATTCCTCTTGGTGTCAGCAACCATTGACCACAGGTAGTAGGGATATTAAAAAGGTTCTCTGCACATACAATTAATCATTTAATCATTTTTGATAGCATGAGTGAAACTTTCCCAAATGTGCCCAATATTAAAATATTAAAAAAGCAATTGGGTAAAACGAACAAACAAAATCAAAAAGTCTTAGGACACTTAGATATATTCTGAATCAAGGGAGTCAGATCAAAGCATAATTTGAACAATTTTAATACTAGCAAAATGCTGCTTTGCACCTGACTCATAATGAAAAATTCTAGAGAGAAATCAGATAGCAGTATGTACTAGGTATGTCAATCAAAAAAATTTAAACCCACCAAGAGTTTATCTAAGTCCCAGAGTACAACCACCCAAGACTCTCTAGAGTTGTGGAACCCTCCAAAAAAGATCATGAGAACAATTAGCAATATTGAGCACCCAGTTCTAGATAAAGGACTAGCTCTGCACGTGGACAGGACCTACTTCACACCTTCCCGCTGAAAGGGCATGAGGCTCGTCACAATTTTGGAGTCCACTTTTGAAAGGTCGGCATCAGGAACGTCCATCATCTGCGACGTGGATCTCTCTATTTGAGTAGCGAAAGTCTGTATTACTGCCCTGGGCAGTGGCTCCACCTCTGCTGACGCCAGGCTCTGCACCACTTCCACTGCAAAGAACAGAGCAGCCTGTTATGAGAAGGGGCAACACACACAGCTTATATTGCCAATGTCACCGTGAGTCTGTTGACCTCATCAACAACGTATTTCTTGTGCTCAGACAGCTCAGGAAAGCACTGCATCACACACAGATGTTGGCCTGGCTTCTTCCCTTGAGTCTCTATCAGCACCACATGATGAATCACATCCCTGCCCATCATATTTACACTTGGCTATAAAGAATTAAAAATGTCTGATGCCATCATTCAAGGTGACTGCTGCTAATGCAGCTGGAACTGGATTATTCACATTGCTCATAGCTTAGAACACACTTGTTTAGGAATAAAAGTAGGGATTTAAGCAAAGAGCTCTGCAGTGCTTAGAAGGCTGGAGCATCTTGATCTTGGCTTTGGGATTTTGCATTAAACACTGACATTAAAATCGGATGACTACACAATCCTTAAGCATACGATCAGAAGCCAAGATAATTACCTAAAGAAGACCATATATATGTAAGAGTCTTGCAAACTCTTTTCTCCTGTTCTTCCCCAAAGTCACACAGGTTTCACTCTGCGTCCACTGCATCATCCTTCATTCACCACATTCAGAAAAAAAAAACAGGTAGCATCTTAACTCTTAGAAGACCTGTCCTATATCACCCTCAGTACCACCCAGACACCCTTTTGGGACGTGGCACTGACAGCAAATACCAACTCAGACAGAGTTTTCCCAGATGGAAATAATTCGCAGGCCTGTATTTGCTCACAAGCAGCCACTTAAACCTCTCCACCACTGAGGTTTCACCCATGCAGCTCCTCACCAACATCTGCAGCACAGAACTTTTCCAGTCAAACCAAAGGCAACCAAGGGAACCTCCATCGCACAAAGTTGTTGAGGCCTTCATCTTTTTGCTTAGTTTTATGTCTTATCATAACAAGCAAAGTGTAGGACAATTTGTCTCTCAGACAATCTTCTATCAGTCCCCTCTGGCAGCTTTCCTATCCCATCCCAGAAAGAGTTAAAAAAAAAAATCTTATTCTAATGGTAAGTGTTTAAGAAAACAAATACTAGTTTAAAAGATGTAGTAAGTGAGCTGGGAATAGGAACCATGTTTAGTAGTTAGTTTTTGGCCACTGACAGAAACACAAAAGATACTTTCACAGCAGGCACAAAAAAACATGTGCACAGAACCTTTACTGTGGGAAACATCTTTTCTGTACTTAGTGCTCAGTTTGTATATAAAGCCAGGAAGATGCAAAATAACTCCTTTTGCAAATATAACCACAGCTATGCAAACTGAAATAAAGACATACTACGACACCAGAAACTGCATTTCCAGAATTCAGTTGGATATTTTAATTTTAGTTGTTATCTCCAAAAGGAAGGCAGTAGAATAGACCCCTGCTATATGAAGGGGGAAAGCAATTCTAAGAAATATACATATGAAAAGATTTCCATTCGCAGCTGGGCAATGGCCCAAACTTTTTTTAACTCTCCAGTTTAATTTGTACTTCTTCAATAGCAGGAACTCTCTCCCCCCGAAGTACAGCACAAACTTGTTATTACACTCACAGACTGAGCTATGTGTTAGCATAATTGCTACAATTTGTTCACTGATAATTCTGTCGCTATTGTTCTGTACATGAGCTGGGAGAGTGATTAAGATATATCTGCCACTGGCATGAATCATCCAACAGACATTTTTTATTGAAATGACCTTTATATAAAGATGACTGAGCAACTAGGCAAAGAGACATTAACCTCTACAAACAGTTCCCAACTAACGAGTATTACTGCGGGAAATGGCAACCAGCCTTAAAAAAATGTGTTGTTTTGAAGTAGGTAAATGAACAGGCACAAAGCTAATGCTATTCCTCAAAAAGGCATGTGGTGGAAACCTCAAATAACCTCACAATTAGATCCTGCAAGAGCATCTTCAGAGATACTTTTTTTTCTTAAACCTGTGGGATTCTAAATATTTCCTTTAATGCGAAAAACACTGTACTAGTTGTATAGTTGTATAATCTAGGAGATGCCAAGTTTGCTCAGTCTGCCTAGCACGTGCTACTCGATCAATCTCATTACACAAACAGATCCCTTCTTGCAAAGTATGCGAGATCATCAACTCTCTCTGAAATTGCAGACTATTAACATCCCAAACCTGGAGTGTCATAATGAAGTCTCTACCAAGACATATTCACTTGTCATCACGCTAAGAAGCTGCCTATTTTACAGAGCCACAACAAGTGACTTTCAGCCCTACAGCTACAGCTAGCATTCCTAAGGCAATCATCATAGGAGCATCCACATATTCAATTATTAAACATACTTTATTATCTAGTGGAAGCAAGAGGCAATGCTGGAGCAGTACAACTCTAAACCACAGCGTTTCAGCTCTCTAAGGACTCGTGCAGAGCATCTTGCCTAGTATCTGCTAATGCTTCTCCCAGTCAAACTCTGCAGCGTCATTCCTTCACACAAGTACTAAGAGAAACAGAGCAGGCCAACCCGAGTGGTAAGTAATAATTATAAAATACTTAGTACTGATGTTTTTCATCTCAAAACAGTACTAACGTAATATACAAAGCTAAGAAGCAGCTGTGCTGGGAGCATGCTGCTGAGGTTGGTTCCGCAGAGCAGCGTCCATCTTTTAAAAATAACAGTTCTATGTTTCACTTCAGCAAGCCCCACTTTTACCAACCCCGTATGGGCACAGAAAGCCAGGATTTTACTAGTCTGCTTCTACCCAGAAATGAACACTGTAGCAATACTAAGCACTTTGATTCCACTTGAAAAGAGAAAATGATACGCTCTAAAAGATTTTTTTGCAAAGCTTTTTTTAAAGCACCTACCAACCTAGAACTGAAGTATTTTAGAACATCATGAAGTTCTACAGAGAGCACCTGCTTCAGGCAGATCTGCACCATTCAATGAGACAAGCGAGCAGTGTTTGCCCCACAATCAACTCAGCTACGGGAAAGCGACCTCGATTCCAACCTGCTCGTTCATCAACTAAAACCCTAACAGCTGTGTGCTGTCTGCAAAGCAATTACTACTAGCAGTAAAATACGAGGCTGAACATTATCAGCTAGGCAGTGAGCAGCCAGACAGTGACTGTGGATGAACTGATTATTACAGAAATCATCAATAGACTTGAAAACCCAGTGCCCTGACCTGAAAAGAAAATTTGCTGGGTGTGAAATGAAACAGCATGACACCATACACACTACTTAAATCTTGTAGCAAACTGAAGCATGAGTTGGCAATAAAACAGTCTGACATGTGTTTGCTCTGTGCTCTCTTCTGAGCAAGAAGTGGCTGTGCCAGCTTCAGAACTGATGTATGCACAGAAGGGAGCAAAGAGCCGGGCAGGTTGGCATGGAGGAGAGAGTAAGGCAGAACATCTATAAGGACATGAAGACCTGGCAGCCACAATACCTCCCTTTTCAAATCTGGCAAGGGGAAAGAGAGGAGCCCATCCCACTGCAGCTCCTTAAGTTCAAGCTGAGCTGCAGTAAGTTATGGGCAACCAAAATTATTTTTTTTAGAGTAAACACATGCCTTACATCATGTAAGGAAATGTACAGAAATTCCCCAACACAAATCCTGTCTATAAATATTTGTGCAGAAACTGACAAAATAGGGCCACCTTCTGATGAGGGCCTTAAAAGGACTGCCATTAACAAGACCCCTTTATAAACTCTTGAGTCCAAGAAAACAGTGTAAACATTTGATAAAATAAGAAGACACCTGCTCTGTGGTTCATTAGCAGCTTATCTCCCCAGGGTAAAAAGGCCTAGCTTAAGAAAATAAGTTAGAATTCATTTCCCTACCCAGAAAGTAGCCCTTGCTAGGAAAAACATATCTACGCACTTAGTTTGGGATAGTCCTCCAGCAGGAAACTCCATTTTCTGGTCTTCATATCTGCAATAGTTAAAACAAAGATTCCTTTAAAAATACTTTTTGACAATGTCTGTAAGAAAAGTGCTGCCCATCCATATCCTCTACGTTATAAAAAGGCTTTAAAATAGTTATCTTGTCTAGCAATCATTTTTCTTCTGTCTGCCTTCATATTAAACAAACAGCATGAAGAGGACTTCAAAGTGTGGATATCTAGTAGATGCGAGTGGAACAAGCCAAGCTCAGTTCCATCAGTGAGCCACTGTATTTAACCCACCTGCCCAAGGACTTCAATAAACACTTTCTTCTCACTGTAGGAGGCACAAAGAGAGCACATGAAGGCTCCTATCCAGTCTGACTACAGGTAGTAACACAGTCACTTTCATTTGCTTCTCCGTATCCTATAAAGGATGTTCTCAGCATTGTACAAAGGAAGATATAAAAGAGGTAGGCTTCCTCCACCCATAAACATGATTTTGAGCATAACACAGTGAACAAACAAGAATTTAATTAATCTCTCTCCTCCGTAGTTCTCACAGAGCTCCAGCAGAACCCAAACCCAAATCAAAATTAAGGGAACAATAAACACTCACCATAATTTCTGGAATTCATCTGTTTGAACACTCCAATCACTTCTGCAGAATACCCAATATCAACCTCAAACCGGGAACGGGAGATCAGCACACATTTTCCTTTGACAAGGGCTGAGGGTTTCTTCCAGTTGTTGCATATCTTCAAAAGGGATTTCATAACGGCCCCACTGCTGATGAAATGAGAGCTTGACACCAAGTCCCCAGCATTTTCTCCTTCTAATGGTACCAAAATTACTGAGGAAAGTTGATTCGCTGCTTCAACTAGAGAAAAAAAACACAGGATGCAGAGCAAAGATGAGTAACTAAGACCATGAACAGACTAAAGATGCACAGGACACTTCAGGAAAAGAAGGAACAAGAGGACAAAAGACCTTCATGAACATGAATAAACCATTTGGATTTTATCAAACTTTACTTTAAAATAATTTACTTTTAGACTGAACACAGCTAATTGGCCAATCCGAATCCAAAGATAAGTCAATCCAAAGATAAGATTCAGAACACCAAGTGAAAGTCTTGTTTATAGCAGAAGCCTGGGAGGCCACCGAAGTAGATTTTCTACTCCCACTGTACCAAACAAAAGATTCTGAATGCCACTGTTTTAGCAGCAGGTAGCTAGATTTCACCTCTACAACTACTATTATTGTCAGAAACTAGAGAACGTATGTTTTCAACTTTTTAAAATTCTTTATCTGTTTCTACACTTCAGTGCATGTTTGTAGTATAAGGAAAGAAATTTACTATGGGAACAAAATAACAATAAAAACAAAACTAACAGCCTAAAGTTTAAAAATAATAGCTTTTGCATTTAAAGACTGACAAGAAGTTCAGACCAAGACCTTTTTAAATCAGTCGTCTTCCCCCAGGGTATTTTTTCCCACGCTATAATGATAGCCAGGGCTGATCACATTGCCTTATGCTTGTCACCAGGGATTTTCCGTAGAAAACTCATACTTTTGTTATCTTTAAGGAAAAGAAAGCCTCAGGTAATTTCTAAAACCCATCCCCTTCATTTGCAAGATACTTGGTGTGGAGACTCTGCTCTCATCTGTACTCGATACATTTCAAGCAAACCAGAAGCATTTAAATTATAAATGTGTGGAAACCCACATGGGAAGCTAAAATACCAGCACTCAACTGTGGGTTTTTCAAAGTGCTCAACACAGGTCTAATTCTGTTCCCACTGAAATCAATAGTGATTTATCACGGGCTTCAATATGATGGCTTTTGAAAAGCTTACCTGAAGTATTTGCCTTGTATCATCTCTCAGTCTTTCCAGAACAAAATGTCAGGAGAGAAAAATATAAAGCCACTCTTGTTATGCCCAACAAAGGCAACTTCGTATTCAGCCTCACCCAGGGCCCTACACAGCTGCCCTTTTTTTCTCCTCTTCTGACACCCAAAACAGTAAAAAAATAAAGTGCTGTTTACAAAGAAAATACTTGGACAGACTCACAAAGTAAGCATCAGCCACAGAAACACTTAGTTCTGCATATAAACTCATATGAAGCACCTGCACAGCAGAGATGTTTTCCTATGATCAGACTTGTTGAACCCTGAAATATCAGGTAGTAAGTGGCAAAAAAAAAAACCCCAATCTATTCCCGACATGTAGATTACATCAAAAAATCAAGTTATTTTAATTAACAAGCAAGTCTCAGTAAAATGTTACGAGCCAGACGCCTAAAAGATGGGCATTCTGTTTTAATACAATGTTATCTCTTTTATTACTCCAGACAATAACAAAGCCAAACAATAATTAGGGTTGGGAAGGAAGGGAGCAAGACTGGAATCCTTTTTATCATTCAGCAATCTATCAACTTACTGAAACTGCTGTAATCATCCAGGCTGAAATTCCACTTTTTCATAGTAGGATCTAAAATAGGGCAGAATATGAATCATTTGAGGTAGAAGAAAGTGGTCCTGTCTATGCCAGACAAGACCCACAATCCATTCTTTCATTCAAAACATTTCCACACACTCCTGAAAAACATGGTCCCCCAAAAAGGCAGATAGCGCATAGATACTAATATGCGAAGAATGCAACTGACATTCACAGAAAACACTGATGTATGGAGAGAAGAAAAACAAAATAAAATTGTAATAATAATTAATGGCAGGCAGAAAAGCACAGAAACAAGCAGAAAAGGTGCAGGGTTTACTACAGTCAGCAATCCACTTAACAGAATCAGTGCACCAACTCCGAACTACAGCTGTAGTCAAACTGACCCATTTCCCCACACCAATTTATGAGCAACTTCTCTTTCATCACTCCCCAAAGACCCTGAGCAGCTGGCACCACTAAACATCTCAGAATACAATTCATAAAGCAGGATTTTTGATTTCCTGGCTAAGTTCAAGCTCAAGCTACTTAGTCCCTGAATTTCTTTCCAATTTCAGCTGCCTTTACTTTTCCAATCCCTCATTAATATTCCATAAACCACCCCAGTAGCAGATGCACTGCTAAAAGCATATATCTCAACTATGGCCCAGCAGATGCTGCAACTCTGATCCAATGTAAAGCAGAGATATGAACAGTCAATTCTTACCATAGTTTTTGCTTGGCATCTTCTTGAACACACCAATGAGTTCAGCATTATACCCTATTTCAACCTGGAATCGGTCTTCCCCATACTTTACACATTTTCCTTTTGTAACACTGTGTGCCTTCTTGTGAGAGGCAGCTTCAGGTGCAGAGCAAGCACTGGCAGAGCTGGTCAGCTTCTGAAACTTACCACTGGCCTGAGAGGCACCACATCCCTGCTCCCTTGCTGCTCTGCCCGTGTTTACCAGCATTTCTGAACCACTTGGGGTGGCACTGCTTGGTGGTAAAACACATTTAATGGCAGATTTGTTCTGACTTTGTAAATCTTTAATATCATCAGGGTGCCAGTTATCAGTTAATCTAGTCTGAGATGGCTCTGTAGGGTTTTTGAAAGATGGACAGTATTTGGATTGCTGGAATGAACCAAGATTAATTAAAGCTTGTTGACCATGTTTCTGGCCATCAGCATCTGAGTTAGACTGATGGGAACAACTTCGAGAATTTGGGATCGTTGTAGGGAATTGTTTAACACTGCTCGCTTGTTCCGAGTCCTCTGAGCAATTCTTTTGTTGCTCTCTGGATGAACCAGCCATCTGTTGCTTTGCAGTGTAATGACTATCATCTTTATGAAGATGGCTCTTCTGCTCCACAGGACAGTTTGGATTCCACTGGTGCTGGCTAATGAACCTGACATGATCATTTTCTTGCTTCAAGTTTCCATGATTGCTCAGACTGTGCTCTTTCAGCTGAGGTCCTGTGCTCCCCACCTGCTCTCCCTTCTGAGCTGCTAGTCTCTCTGCTCTCCTAGCCAAGGCCTTCTGGCGGTTCTCTTCAATTCTTCTCTTTTGCTCCTCTGTAAGGCCTGATGACATCTTCAGCAACTCAAACAATAATCCTTAATCAAAACTAGATCAGGAGTTAATCACGGGGCAGTTGCTTCTTTACAGGATTGGAAGCCAGCCTGTAAAAATGCAACAAAAAAGAGAGAGAAAGGAAGCTTTAGTTTTGTCAATATCATTAGTGACCGGGTATTACTGTAACTGCTTCTACACAAAAACAGTAAAGGTGCCCGAGCCTTCATCAGCAAGCAGATGCTGACAACGCTGCAGGGTTCTGCATGGCAGCTCTGCACAGAGAGCGCACATGGGGAACGGAGAATCCCCCTCACAGGACTCCAGGGCCAGCTTGGGGCTCCATCCCTGCCAATCTCAGCTGTTAGCCAAGCACAGGGAAACCCTGCAGCACAGAGGGTGCCCTGCAAATGCCAGCAAAGCTATTAATCTCCATATAGTTTTGTGTGGGAAACATTTCAATTTTTTGGTACCCAAAAGAGGGGACCAGGGCCCATCTTTGCCAAGCGGCCTCAGGCCGCTCACAGCACAGACACAGGCTTGGCACAAGGGGCAAGCTCATCCTGGGTCTTGAGGAAGCTCCTGAAAGTCGGGGCCCTCGTGAGAGGCACCGTAAGGCCTCACTGTGCCCGCTCCCAGCCTCACATCC